ATCTACAGATGTAAAGCATTGTAACTATCTACAGATGTAAAGCATTGTAACTATCTACAGATGTAAAGCATTGTAATAAGGTTCTACTGAAATGACATCTTATTTCAGTGACACTCTACTCTATCAATTCACACTATTGTGAGTGATCGACGTGGAACCTACCTGGCTTTGGTTGTGGAAGATCGTACATCTCGTATATACACTCATCTGGTAAACAGAAGAATACATATGTCAATATAATGATACCAACGTCAGATGTAGGAGGGAGGAACTTGATGCTGAAAATGTTCAGTAAATTGGTCTACAAAGTTTCATTTGAACAAAAGCAATTGACCTTCGACCTCAACTTGTGATATGTGTATGTAGTTTCATCAAAATACGGGAAATGTTTCAAGGCCTATCTATACGTACGACATCACAACTATAAAACATGCCCATAGCACACGAGTACATTGTTATTTGGTGCAGGCTGGCAAGCGTGACAAACCCACCTATTTTATTGCTGAACGTTCATAATTTCACTTTGTGACCTTACAACACGAAAATAAATATAGCAAAACGAAATTGTAAAGTACGCCGTCTTGCTATTTCTAAAGTAAGTCAAAGACGAATGCAACGTATACGAACAACATTTCAAGCATTAACTGTTTTTGGGTTTAGCGCAATACGTGACAAAAATGACAAGGAAGAACAGGCATGTTAGTTGTCCATTAAACAGCGGTAAAGCTACATGTATACAAAGACTTTCTCTGCCAAGTTCATGAATTATGTTTTAACGTTCAATAATAGCCAATGCCGTATGGTACGTAATGGAATAAGTTAAAAGAATGATCGAGGGACAAAAGTAATGTATTCACTGAATGAGGACAAACGGAAACCGTCGGCACTTTCCGTAAACGAGAAAACTTACGGAAATCCCTCGTTTACGGAAAGTTCCGACGGTTTCCGATTGGAAGGGAGTACAGTACCAACATGTAAATTAAAGACATCGAGGTATTACCAGCGTATACAATGTCGTCCTGTAAAGACTCGTTGACGGCGGCCATTTTCAGATCGCTCTCACTTTTGTAGGCAGGGACGTCATCTTGTTTGGACTCCAGCTTCTTGGACTGACGAGAACTTTGTGGGAGGGTGGTCATCGATTTGTTTTTCTTTTTCATCAAGTTGTACTTCTCTTCTTCCTTCGCTCTGTAATGATAAAATGAACAAGTCTCACCATTTAACGATCACAGTCCAAAGACGCATCGATTTTTATTTTAACCTGGAGTTACAACAATTACGAAACAAGTTTTTTTTAACTTTGTTATAATAATCACTTTCGTTGGATCGGATGAAAGCGAGTAGAGGGTCTTAATGTGGAAGGAAACCGGAGTACCAGGATATCACAGGGACCCGATAATTTGTTACTGCTATATTTGGACCTAAACTAAGGTGTTTAGAGTAATTTTACACGTTTGGGGGGTTTATATCAATTTTCGGTAAAAATGCCACCCCCAATGTTGATTATTCCTTAGTTAAGGTTCAAATATAGCTGTAACCAAATCTCAGGTCCCTGTGCAGGAGATGACCCATCTTGCAGGTGACCCAATACTGTTTCACGTCCGATCGGGGAATCGAACCCCAGTTGTCTCGGCGAAAGGTGAGACTGAGTGAGCTATCCAATGCACCGTTTACCTTTCACCAAGATAACCGATTTGTTTCACAACCCACAGACTCATCACATTATAAATTATGATGGCAATATAAGAGATTCATACTCCGTCTCCAGACAGCGGAACGAAAACTGGCGAGTAAGTCATGTCAAATCACACAAAGATAGCGGAACGAAAACTGGCGAGTAAGTCATGTCAAATCACACCGTCCAACAAAATCCCTAGGTAAGAAATGTGTATACACTGTACATTCAAAAATGCTAATAAGTAGAGACAAACGGTGTATAATATGATAATCAGGGTAGTAATAGTTTCATGACAATTGTATTGCACAATATTTTTTGTCATATGTTAATAGTCAAGTTCAAGTTCAAGTTCTTTATTACTTTAAGTCGGTTGACTTATCAGTCATAACATATATACAAAACAATACAGAGACAACATACAATATGATACACACACACATACACACACACACACACACACACACACACACA